GAAGTTAAGTGCTTAGGCAGAATGATAGAGCTTTTATCCAGGTTAATGTGTAAACCGGTAGAGTTGGTGAAACAATTTATGGCATTCATAAGATGAGTATAGTTTGCAGTAGAAGCTTCTCCAAAGACAAGTAAATCATCAGCATAGAGAAGATGACTTAACTTGAAATTTTTGTATTGCACACCAATAAAAATATTGTTATCAAGAATAGAAGAGAAAGCATCCATAGCTATACAGAAAAGATATGGACTTAGGGGGCATCCCTGCCTTAAACCAGCCGAGGAGGGAAAAAAACCATCAAGAGCTCCTTTGATCACAATCAAAAAATTAACATCAATGATGCAATTCTTAACCCAGTTAATAAAAACAGCAGGAAATCCTTTTTGATGAAGCCTAGCCAAAATAAATTCCCTGGAGACAGTGTCAAAGGCTTTACGAATATCAAATTTAGCACAGAAAACATTTTTCTTTCCTTTAGCAGCATAGGAAAGAATTTCTTGGGCCAAAATAATATTGTCCGTGGAGATTCTAGTTTTTATAAATCCTGACTGAGTATTCTTCACAATACTGGGCATAATTGGTTTAAGCCTATTTGCAATAATTTTTGAAACAATTTTATAAATCACATTGCAGTGGGCAATGGGTCTAAAATCAGCAAAAGAAGCAGCATGCTTAGTTTTAGGGATCAAAGCAAGAGCAGTAGATTTGATACCCATTGGCATTTTACCCAAACTAAAGAAGGATTTAACAGCCTTACAGACAATAGGCCCAATAATATGTCAGCTCCTCTTATAGAAATGAAAGTTGAATCCATCAGGTCCTAGAGATGAAGATGCCTTTCCCTAAAAAACCGCATTCTTGATCTCAACATCAGTAACAGAGGAAATAAGAATGTCAGCAAAATTAGGATTTAAAGTATCACCTACTGGAAAGAGCTCCATATTAAGATCCTGAATAAGAGGAGGATTGTAAAGTTCTTGGAAATGATTCATGATATCAGATATAGCATCAGCATTTAAAAAGTTAGTCGAAGAGGCAAGGTTCAACACAGCATTATTATTAGCCCTCCGTCTTCGAATTTTAGCATATAGGAACTTAATTTCATCCTCCCATTGAGAGAGCCAAGAAGCTTTGGCTCTTTGAATGATCCAAGAAACTTGTAAGGAAGTGAATTTTGTGATTTTATTGTTAATATCTTTCAATTTCCTATTCATATCCACATTGAGTGGATCAGCAGATATTTGATCAAGACAAAAACATTGATGCTTGTGTAAGGTATTCAAATGAGCATTTATAGCATTAGCATTTGACCAGGACTCCAACTTATGCCGCCTCTTCAATGTACGAAGTTTAGAACTAAGATCCGCCAAAGGACTGCCAACTTGTGGAGAAGAAAAAACATCAAGGAGAATGTACCAATATCCATCCAAAAAAGTCCAATAATTTTTGAAGAGGAATCAGTGATGAGGGATGTAGGCCTTAGAGGAGTGAAGAATAAGGGGGGCAGTGATAAGAGAAAGAAGGAGCTTGCACAGAGTAGTAAGAAGAAGGAAAAGAATTGGACCAGGCCTCATTGACCAAAACTCTATCCAGCTTTATATGAATGGGATTATTAATACGCTGATTAAACCAGATATAATTTTAACCCACAGAACTCAAATCCTCCAAATTAGCATAAAAAATAGCAGTGTTTAATTCCCCCAGATTGCTGTGAGATAAAGCTGAGCCTCCCAATTTATCAGTTGCAAAACGACAGCAGTTCATATCTCCCATGATAATCCAAGGAGAATTCATAGAGACAACGGTCATTCTAATCGATTCCTAGAGAGGAAGACGTCCCACTCTATCATTTTTCGCATAAATAGTCGTTAACAGAAAAGAAGACAAGTTTGCACCTTCAACAATACCCGCAATAAGTTGGGGAGAAATGATGGTAGGGGAGAAATTTAATTTAGAAGAATTCCATTTGATCCAGATCCGGCCTGGACTGGCCAAATTAAAATTGTGACAAGAGCGTTCAGCAGGAAAGAGAACGTGAGAGTCACAGAAGAAGGGGTTGAGAAGAGACGAGGGGAGAATCCTATTATCCAAAATACACAGAAGATCCAGTTTAAAAGAAGAGTTAAGTCGCTTACAGGAGTAAACTTTGTCTGGACTGTCGAAGCCCCTAATGTTCCAGCATGCTATAGATGGCACAAACATGGTTAACGATTGACAGAAGAGCCCTTTTTGGCTTGCTTTCCCTTCGCATTTTTACTTTGCTTACCCTATTGTGCAATGGCTTTCTCCTTTTCTTTAACTCGAGCTGAGGTGTCTGTATCCAAAGATACTTCCTCATTAGAATTATCTTGATCCTCCTCCAAAAGATGCAAGGCATCAAATTTGTTGGGAGATTGGACTTTGGTATTGGAAGATTTAAAAGTCTGCTGTTGCGATGAAGATGTGGAGGAAGTGACATCCTGAGGAGAGTTTAGGTTTGGGAGAGTGATGTTAGCCTTTTGAGGAGTGGGTAACTGAAGAGTAGAGGTAACCAGATTTGGTTGTGTCATGGGAGGGTCCACAACAACAGAAGAGGGAAGAGTAGCAACAGTGGTATGGCCAAGTAATGTGATTGAAGACGGTATAATGGTAGGAGGAATAGTAGAAGAGGAAGGAAGAGGTCTAGCTTGTGGTCTTCTATTCTTGCTTCTCCCACGGAAATTGGGAGGGGGAGGAGCTTTTGAAGGGGCCTTATAAGGCTGATCATCCAGCTTTGAAGGACAAGTAGAAGAGGAGTGCACCAGTTTACAATGCTCACATAAAGTAGGCTTCCACTCGTATTGAATTTTTAAACTAAAGACATCTTCCTCTATAGAAATCGGAATTTCTTCAGGATAGGTAGCAGTAGCATCAACTTGAATACAAACACGAGCGAAAGTGAGACGAGTTCTCTGTGCAGTTAGAGCATCCACCGCTAAAGGAACTCCGATTTTACTTGCAATACGGGATATACCTTTTGAGTTCCAGCAAACCAAAGGAAAGTCATGGATCTTAACCCATATAGGTATGGAAGTAAAATTTTCGCGCTTAGGGCGAAATTTCGGTGACCATTTCTAGAGAAGGAAGTGTCTACCCAGAAAAAACCAAAATCCCTTAGACCACACCATCTCGTAGTCTTCCATAGTGGAAAAAGCCATCCGAGAGAGAGAGAGAAGTTGCATGGACCCCTTCAAGGTCCAGGGTTTACGTATAGCTCCAAGCAAGGCTTCATAATAAGGACGTCTTCCAATAGAGTAACCTACCAAGCATAGATTCCAGTTTTCAGCACCTTTGACCAGCCTCTCCCCAGCAAAAGCGATGTTATCAGGCTCAAGCGGAAGAAAGGAAAGCGGAAGGTCTTTGGAAATAGGGACAGAGTCAACAACAATGTTCTTCCAAACTCGAGCAGGTGCAGGAGAAGGAGAAGCCCCTGCATTCACAGCTAGAGGAGGGAAGTCTGAAGCAGAAAGAGACTCCATGAAGAGAACAACTGGAGAAAAAAGAGGAGAAAAGTCCTCCGGCAGCAGCCGGAGGAGGGGAAGGGGAAAAGGGCGCAAAACCGGGTAGCAGGCGGCGGGAACAAAACCCTAGCAGAGCTCCCTCGCTGATTTTCTGAACCTCGAAATTAAATTTGTTAAGCAAATATATATATATATATATATACTGCATGCGTTTTTATGGGGTATTATTTGTTATTTTAATATATGTTTGATTTAGGATAGAGTGAGGTTTCATTTGGGATGACTTTCTTACTGTTTCTTAAAACAACTTTTTAGTATAAAAAAAATTAATTTTTTGTACTAAAAAATTATTTTAAAAAAGAGTAAGAAAATCATCCAAAATGAAGCATGAGTCGTTACAATCCCAATAATAATTACTTTATTGCATGAACAAGGAAAAGATATTTAATATATGTGGGTGAGAACATTTTGCACCGATATTCTCATTACAAAGCAATATAGGCTTTATATCATCAAAATGGAGAAATTATTGCAATGATCATGATGATTATGATCATATTTTGATGATAACAAATATATAATTAAAAAAATTTATATTTCTTTCAACTAATTCCGGGTTTAAAAAATGTCTATGAATTTTGATAGAAGTTTCGATAATATATGATGTATGATATGATATAATAGAAGATTCAAAGAATATTCGGAGTATTTTTTAGTTATTTATGGAGTGAGTTTCCTATCCAGCTCTTAAGCTAGAAAAATAATAAAATTATTTTAAATTTATATATATATTATTTTATTATCGTTTCACAAAAATTACAAGTTAGTTTTTACCTGAATTATTAATATTTAAGGCTTACTAATATTGAATATTAAATTAAAATAAATAATTAATTTATATTGATAAACAAATGTTTTAATTTTGATTTCATCAAATTAACTCTGCTATTTACCTGTAAATTAATCTATAATGTGTTATAATTTTATTTTATATGCATTAAATTATAAAAAAAAAATATAAAAGTTCCTTATAATTACAAAAATGTTATTAAATAGTAATTTAGAAAAGTGTGAAACTGTTAACACTATAGTGGCTCTGGTATGACCATATTGTGCTACGTACTTGATTTGCGGCTAATTGGCACATAAAATTTTTGGAAAATATAAAAACAAAATTATTTTTTGAAAATATATAAACATGAACAAAACTAAACATTTTTTTTTATATGAACCGTTTTTCTTTTGATTTATTTTCAAGAAAAAAAGTAAGAAAATTATATTTTTCTGTAAATTTATTTAATAACTGAACCTTTACTAAAAAAAACCTGTAATCAAAACTATTCCAATCAATATTAGTGTATTGACATTAGCATTAAATTTATCATTCATCATAGAAAAAAAAAAAACAGAAAAAAAAGCTTATTGACTGCTCCGGCGCTAATGCAAGCACAGATGCTTTAATATATATAAAAAAAACAAAAAAAAAAAAGCACAGATGCTTTCATAAAGAGAGAGAGAGAGTAGAAAAACAAAATAAACCTATTTCTTTCCATATTTAGCTAATAGTTAAAACTAGTCATCAGAGCCAGGCTGTTTTGACCCGCTCAGCATCCCTAAACAGCATAGCTACAACGCACACCAAAGCCTCCTCTCATATCATAGCATAATACCAACCACTATCCCCTCTTCTCTCTCTCCCATTTAGTCATCACTATTACGCCGAAACATTTTAATCTAAAATACATCATCATAAACTTAAAAACTCCTAAACTCACACACACTTCACATACACAAGACTCGAACCCAAGACCTCCAAAACTCCCAACCAATAGCCTAAGGCTTCACTTGGGACAACTTTCTTACTATTTATTAAAGCAGCTTTCTAGTAAAAAATTTAAAATTTTTGCACTAGAAATTAAGTTGTCTCAAGAAGCAGTAAAAAAGCCGTCTCAAGCGAAACTTTACGAAACCTAAAGTTTCGCTTGAGACGGCTTTCTTATTGTTTCTTAAATCAGTTATCTAGTACAAAATTTAAAATTTATGTACTAAAGAGTCGTTTTAAGAAGCAGGTAGACATCCGTCCCAAACGAAGCCTAAAATGACCTACATATTCCTTCGAAAAAAGCATCTTGATGCACCAGGCACAAATTATGTTAGGATATCCTGATGAAAACCGATCAACCTGAAAGATCTTATGATTTGCAGTGACATGAGTGTTACATAAGATAAGATATCTTATATAACACTAATGTCACTACAAATCATAAGATTTTGAATTCCATTTTGATGTAATGTGCAGGAGGATAATCCTATATTTAGTGGTGATTCTCGAAGCAGACAAGCCTGTTATCTGCGAGCCTGGATTTAAAGGCAGCGGTCTTGTACTGAGCCCATGTGAAAGCTCTGTACCTGCTCTGCTCTTGGTCTCCAAGCAGCTGGGGCAGAGGCTCAATCCTCGCAGCTAGCGGCGGGCCCCCGAAATATATCATCGAGAACCTTGACTTCCTCCCGTTGGTCACCACCCTGTGCCTCACGCTCCGGAATCTCCCATTTGTCAGCACCTGACATCAAAAATTTAACCAATTCAATTGCCCCCATCAATACCCCCACGTTCTTCACATATTTTGCACACTGTACATCTATTAATTATTTTATTAATCAATCAAATCGATCAAAAACCCGACCCACAAATCCCATCTTTTCACACATTAAATAAACAGTGACCGCAACGGAGAGATGAGAGAGATAAAGGAAACCAAATTGAAATCTTTCACTTCGTTTCTTCTTTTGATTGTGATGCATGCAATCATTAAGCAATGTATTGCGCTAATTTAGTCTGATTTTTGTGGGTCAAATTGAGCGATTGTGTTGCCTCGTGTTGACACGAAGTAAAGCTTTTGACTGCACTAAGTCTTGTAAAGGGTATGGACTGAATGACTAAACTGAGTTTCATGGTATTTTAATGGATCAACCAAAGTAAAGTGGAGCTTAGAGCATCTCCAACCGAACGTCAAAAATGCTTATGATGTTGTTCAGCTGTCGCTCCAGCTTAACGTTAAATCTTATGCTATTTGCTTGCGGGTGAACAGCGCGGCGTCAATATTGGTGTTGTACTGTTCACCTACGCGATTTTTCTGTCTCAACTGGATTTGTCGAAGAAGCGCGAAAGAGGAGAAAGACGGTTACCTTCGCAGAGGTGCGCAAAATGAAATTCGATTGGAGATGAATCATGATATTTTTGAATTTCACTATATTTTGGAGTGAAAATTGGTATTTCGGTTGGAGAAGCTCTTAATTCTTCTTTTTTTTTTTTGTTTTCATTGATGAATTAAGCTGCATGACAGCAGAATCTAATGTGAAAACAAACTAACAATTTTCAAAATATAAACCTGTACAGAATAGGATTATGAGCTGTGTTTTTATGACTACACTGGTTTTCTCTTATGTTAACCGTTTTCATGTGGTAGCTACTCTGCATTTTTCTCTTCCTGTTTTTGAAACACAACTGCTGCACTTATTCTGCATGGATTCCCTCTGTTCTTAATTTTAACTAGCAATATCGGTAAGTTCTCATTCAAAATGCTTCGTTTGGACGGATTTTTTTTTTTATTCATTTCTAAAGCAATTTTTAGTTTAATTTATAATAAAAAAATTGCTTCAGAAAATGATAAAAAAATCCGTCCCAAAGAAGCATAAATATAAAAATACATCACAAAAAGCTTGAGTAAAACACAGGGATTAAACTCACCTGAAGAGAATCCCCCACGTTAACGAAGAAGGAATCCTGGTCAGGAGGAACCAGGACCCAACTCCCGTCTTTCAGAGCAATCTGAAGCCCATCCGAGTCATTCGATCTCAAAACGGAAATAATCTGCGGATCCGTATGCTCCCCAAATCCGTTCAAGTTGTTGTTCGATCCCTGCAACATCGGCCATGGCGGGTAGTGATTCAGCCTGAAGAAAGAATCGCTGTTTTCGTCATTCACAAATTTACTCAACACATTCCTCTGCTCCAATCCCAGTCCTTCCGCCATTAACTCAAGCATTTCGGACGCCAACTTCCTCGTTGCCGAAACATACTCCTTCAAAGCAGAGCTGCAAACTAATCTATTAGTTTAAATTTTTTAAGAATTGAATTGAATTTATGTTACTAATAATCAGCCTACCAAAACGAGCTCGCCCATGACTCCTTAAGGAAGGGAATCGTTAAGGACGGGTTTGAGGTGACTTCGAGAAGGAGATATTCTAACCAACCAACATCTCCATTGCAGCCAATCTTCTTGTTTCCATAGCCGAAGGGGTTGGCCATGCCGGCCTTCTCCAACTTCTCCCACTCCGGCAAGGAAAAGAAGTCTATTGCAGCGGCCTCCAATCTAGCCGTTAGGCTCTTGGAGACCCCGTGGTTGGTGACTTTGAAGAAGCCGAAATCGATGCACGCAGCGACGATGTCGGCAGCGGCGGTCGGTGCGGTGATGTCGATTGCCGGCACGTTGGAGAAGGAAGCGCAGGGCTTGGAGGATTTTACGAGGAATATGTCTTCCAGGGATGGACTAGTGAGGACCCCCATAGTTGTTGGTTGAAGAGCAGAAGAAAGGGTAAGGGGAGAGGTAAGTCCAGAAGGAAATTGCATGAGCTGCTCTAGTTATATAGAGGGTAAGCAAGGTGCCACTGGTCAAAGTTAACGCTTTGGAGGGCGAATTATTAGGTCCGGTCACGGGACCTAAATCTGCCTCAGGAATTTTATGAGCTTTTACTAGGCTTTTGATGTATTTTTGCAAAAGCACAGTTAATATGCGCTTTTAATTGCATATTAGCCGCTTTGTGTTGAGTATTTGCAAAAATATAGCAAAAGCGCAACAAATATCTCACTCATTGTGTATTTGGTGCCCTTTTGTTGCACTTTTCAAATACTCAGTAAAAGGAGAGCAAAAGGGCAGCTAATATGCACAGTAAAAGCACATATTAGTTACGCTTTTGCAAAAATACATCAAAAGCATATGAAAAGTGCAGGGTTCTGAACGCAAATTTAAATCCAGTGACCGGACCTAATAATTCGCCCTTTTTGAAATAGGGCCGTTTGATTTGCTGTGCTAGTGGTGTAAATTAAAAGGAGTGCATGAATTACGGTTTTTTTTTTTCTTTTTTCGTTCCTTTTTCTTTAGGGTGGTGTGGGTGAATTTTGATATAAATTCATAAGGAATTTAGAATTCCTGTATTTGAAACTATTTTATCGTTGGACTCGTGGCCCTCATCATTTGCGTGCTTTGTGTCTCGTTTGACAAGGGACTAACGACATTCCCCTTTGCCTCCCATGTCGCCTTCAACATCATCCTTGCCTCGTGTTGTTGCCTACTCCCTTTCTCACTCTACTGGTTCAATCGCCTAAGCCATTGTCTCTTCCACTCAAGTTCCAGCTCCTCCTTCCTCTCCGGTTCCAAATGGGTTTGACTCCACCTCCGCCAATGCCGGATATGCTCCGACGCCGCCTGCCCGTCCTCCTCTAGCTTATTTGACTCTCCCTCCCCCTTTCTCTTCCTCCAAATCCAATAAGTTTAGATATAAAATTATATATTTTCATCCACATTACAATCACAGTATATATATATTAAGATCAATCCAAGAAATCAAAATATGATATATTTGTTTTATTTTTTAAAATGGATGAATCCTAAATAAATCGTCTCTATAGTAGAGAAGAGGTTATGCTACATTGCTCGTGTTTATCGTTTTTTATCTGTTTGTCATTTAAAGATCTGTCTTTGTAAACTGCTGGTAATTTGTCAATTCGATGAATAATGCAGAAACGTTCATCATTGATATACAGCAAGGATTTTTTCATTATTCTTGAAATAGTTTTAATTATATTAAAGAAAATTCGAAACATTATAACTTTTATATGATTTTATGTCAGATGGATATATAAAAATACAGCAGTTTGTATTTTGATGTAGGAATATGATAATTTTGGTTGAAAGGCAAAGGGGGAAAAAAATAAGAGCTAAGGTTATGTATGTGCGTTCAAAACAATTTTGTTTGTGAGCAATATTCAAATCCCACTTGAAAGAATAGTAAGATATTTTAAGAGAGAATAATAGAGAGAGAATGAAATGAAGAAAAAAAGCAAGAAGGTTTTCTAAAGAGAGAGAAGCTCCATAAATTTTATTACGCAGAAAAAAATCAAAGAGTTACAATAAAATATACTACATCCAAAAATATCCATTGACCTTATAGTTTTAGGATATAAAGCCCTGCTAGAGATGCTAGACTTATAGGATAATTAATAAATATATGATATGATTATTATAAATACATGAATAAGATCCTGATATGTACACTTGGATAGCTATATTTGACAAGTGTTTGAGATATCTTCGGCTAGTGTTTGGGGTAAGTTTATGGTTGATTAGACAAGAACACCATCCCTGATTAGATGTAGGTACCATCCCTGATTACATGTAAGTAGGTATTTACTATTGAGCTGGTGTGAGTGACTCCTCTAACTGAGGTGAGTAGCCTCTAGGTTGGGGTGAGTTACTCCCCTTGCTTTAGTGATTGCTTTGTTTATGAGGGCAGTGTCTCTAGTTAGATGCATCTTGATCCTTTAATGACTTCACCTAATCTCCCCAACTAGTTTATATTCACACACACATATCATCTTTACAAAACCTAAAAAATGATAAAATGATAGATTTTACTATCCAATTTCATTCTTATATCAGTAATGATGTCCCCTTTATGACAATCATAATGACATTGATTTGACAGCTTCACATTGCAATGACTACAATAGCTTATAAATCGGGATGTAATGAATAAATAAGATTCACACATCTCTCCCATTCAGTTGCCATCTTGTCCTTGCACCTCAATTATTTAAGAATGATCAACTCTCCTCATGTTTTGTTGGTAAATGCCAACAACTGCAAGTTGCTTTGAGGCATTCTCTGCAAACAAAAGATGATTATTTTGGAGGGTGAAGGGTATAAGTCAATGCAACCTATTAAGGTAAGAAGGAAGAGGTTATGGATGGAAGGTGAAAGTGGGCAAGGGGATAGTCTACTTTTGATTCTTATATGTGTTTCATTAAAATGATATTTATTAATCCTCCCACATGAAGTGCTCCTACGATGATTTAAGCTATTGAATTGGCAACTCCGATTCAAATACCCATGGTGAGTAGAGTTGTAGCTCCAACTCAGATAACCTTATCTTGTTTAAGAATAAGTAAATATTAAAGTTGATCAACTTAGTTATTTTTATCTAACTTATTGGAGGAATTAATGAGTATTATGAATCCTTTCATATAGGGAGTTAAGCAATAATGAGTTATTCTTGGAAGTATGATAGATCCATTTCTAACATTAGATAAAATCATCTCAAAGAGTTTTATGTGGTCCATCATGAGTGAGCCTATGATATATCTATGAGCGAGCATTCAGGTCATCAGTTGCAGAGTCATAGGTCATAGCTTTTACAAGTTTGGCCATTGATCTCATTCTTTGGTAAAAGGCTTATTGTGGCTATTTATAGAGGTTCAACTCAATAGTCTTTTGAGTAAAAACTTTTCACTACTTAACTTTTCAATAAATATAACATGTGTAATTTCAACAAGATAGCTTGAAAACATTAAGGGAGAGCATACATCAATGGTTGTTAAACAGGACGCACTAGCTACCAGGGTGAGTTCCCTTGTTGAGAGTGTGAACCCCTTTAGCCCTACCTCATAAAAATAAGTTTAGGGGATTGGTGTTTCTACTTATCAGATAGTTTTTATTACTTGCAATCTTGCTTTATCTCACATAATAGAGAATGTGCACACTGAAATGATTTAAAGTCTTTTTTATCCTCCATGGGGGATCATATGTGTGCATTGAGGATATATTCTCCCATGTTAGGGTTAATGATGAGGAGGAAAAGAAGAAGACAATCGTTATGGTTAACAAGGTGGGTTTGTCTATTTCTCTTATTGAGATAATTACCAATTCAGTTCACTATAAAGTGTAAAACTTGAAAGCTAAAGTAGTGGCTACTCATAGGTTTACGAAGTCTTCCAAGTCAAGTCAATTCTTAGTTGAGAAAGAGTTCATTTTATGACATCTAATAAGGATGGGGACTATCTCCCTGGATGTATTGATGGACCATATCTTTAATCTTTTTTCTTAGTAGCCATTAGGGGAAAAATCACCATTATGGGGAATGTATTTAAGAGGCAAATCTTGAATATTATATCATATATTTATTCATTCCAATTTTTATGAGCTTCGTGTTTTGTAAATTTATTATGTCAAGCTTAATAATTTAATTTCATACGTGTATGTGTATTGATGTTTGTCATAGTTACTTTCTCAACAAACTCATCATGTTTACTAAATACAAACAAGATTTCCACTACAAAGATCAAGAAAGTTTTGCTCTAAAATTTATTCATTTATGGCATATATAATGTTTATCTAGAAAAAAATCTATCTCTCTCTATAAATAACCCTTTGTCCTTTTCTGGAACATTGGCACTCTTTTATTTCTCCTCACCTATCTCTCTCTCTCTCTCTCTCTCTCTCTCTTTCTCTCTTTCTCTCTCTCCCCACTCACTCCTCATTCTCCTATTGCTCTAGGCATATTTCCTTTTAAAATTGAAACCTTAGTGAAGTACTATAATGCCTTCACAAAAGTTGAGTTTACTAGGCCCTCTATTTGCATCGAGTACTTATTAACAATGAGTTCCCCAAAACCTATTATGGTGATGAGTTGTGCTTCCACTTTGATAATTTTAGAATTATCCAACACCTTTTATGGTCATAAATTATGCTTCCATTTTGACCACTTAAGATTGGAATTGTGAGTCCCTCTATGCCTAGAAGTCACTAACATACTTGATTTTTATAGAATTTTCCAAGCCAAATCAGGCTAAACTTTTTTGCGACTATAGTTACCATAATCTCATTCATGCTGGAAATAAATACCCATTAACTATAATCTTCTTTTTCTATCTCATCTCCATCATAAACTTCTAGGACTGGTGAGTCTAATCTCTTTGGTCCACATTTAGGTGAGCGAGTTAGAGAATAAAGTGAGGGAATAAAAATACATGTATTTATTCATGAGGTTAGTGTTGTGGTGGTCAATACTGCAAAAACTATCCCCTTCTCTGAGAAGAAAGTGGACCTCCATATCCAAAGTTTTAAGTAGTATTTTATCTTCCATCAAATTAGAGGCTTGGACTTAATGGTCTATCTACACATTGAGCCAATGAGAATATAATAAAGTCATTAAGGTTAGTCAATTGTTTATTATTTTTATGCTTAGTCTCTCTTTTGGCGTATTTCTTTGATATGCCTATTATAGTGCCTTAATTTCAAGTGAGTTTGACCTATATGACATCTTATATGGCATGGAGGTGCTCGAATTCTTGGGAATGAAGGCCTTCAAAGGTCAAAAGAAGAAGAAAAAGTAGTAGTAGAAGAAGAAAAAGAAAGAAAAAAAAAACCATGCCTTCTTTAATGACATTTTTAGATGACCCAACACACCATGAACCAACACATTTAAACTCCCCATGGTGTTAGTGATTTTTCATCACCATGGCTTATACTACCATTCTGATGGA